TTTAGCCCCCAACCACCAGGAGGTCAAACGTCTACCCTGCGCTCGCCTCCAAGAAGGAGGGTAGAAGGAACTCCGCCACCTGATTCTTCGTCAAGTGTACCAACGGAGGCAATACAGGCGGAAGTTCAGCGTCAGCTGGGAGGCCTATTGTCACAACTACAGGCCGCAGATGAGGCCAATCAAAGACTTCGTGCTGAGCTGGATGGTGCAACAAGCAGACTGCGTGAGTATGAGCAAAAGCAATTTCTGCAGACTTCGTCAGACTCAGTGCATGAGAGAAGTACAGGGCTCTTAGGAGATTTGGTGGGATCAGTGCCAGGAGTACATAACGTCGCTACACTATTCCCGGTTGTGGAGACAGCACCGCTACAGAGACAACCTCAATCGGATCTACCAGGACCTCCTCAAGTATCAAGGGATGGACTCGCAGGTTTATATGGGGGTCCTACTGAACCTGGAAGCCTAGGAGAACAAAGAGGATCAGGCCTATGGGGAAGCAATCCACCTGAACTACCTCGACCTCCTAAGGAACCTCCACCTACAATGGGAAGTACAAACCGCGCAGAACCACCACGTGAACGACATGAACTACCTCGGTTTTATTCCGATCTACCTCAAGCACCTACAGAGGGACCAAGCAGGCTGAGGAGCTGGTTTACAGGAAGACCGAGAAGCGAGTCACCGACGGCGCCCTTGGGACCTAGGAATGCTGAGTCGCCAGTGCTTGAAGCTTTGGCCAAAGGGGTACAGCAACTTCAAGAACTACAAGCGCAAGCAATGGCAAAGGCGAGTGCACACTCACCAGCAGAAGTGGTAAAGCCAGGTACTATGTCGCTGTTGCCGTTGCCTGACATTGGGGATCCAGCAGAGGCCGCCCTAGCATTTCAAGACTGGGTTGAGGTTTCAGCTTCAGTAATGGGCGATGTCAGTGAGCACTCGGCGTCATGGTGGTCAACGGTTTTGCGTCAGGTGGAAGATACTTACGCCCGATGGCTAGCAGCAACACCTTTAGAGCGACTTTCTATAGCACCTTCGTCGTCGGGAACGCTATGTTCAGGACAATGGGCGAGATTGAACTCGAGGGTGGCGTCTATGCTGTTGGCTTCTATGAGTGAAGATGTGCGTAATGACATGATAAGTCAGCGCTTGGCCCAGGACTGTGTGAAGATGATGTTTAGGCTCTACGTTCGGTTTCAGCCAGGAGGAGCAGCAGAAAGACAAGAGGTTCTAAGACGACTGCAAAGCCCGGCCGATTTTCTGCCGAATGACTCCATAGAGGCCACGCTTAAGGCGATACGAGCTTGGCCCCGATGGTTGGCCCGTTGCAAGGCAGTCAGTATGTCACCTCCTGACGCAACAGTCTTGGCGAAGGGGCTGTTGTCGTTGTCCATGAAGCATATAGGCTCTTCTGCTGATGCAAGCTTCAGAACAGCAATGCTCCGCACCACGCTACGGCTAGATGCTCAACCAAGCTTAGAACAAGTTCAGGCCTACCAGAAGCACTTACAGGCGGAGCTCGAGGTGATGGCGGCAGGAGCGCAGGCGCAAGCTGGAGGACCGAAGGTGCGGGGTATAGATGCAAGTACCAGCCCTAACAAGGGTAGGGACAAGAACGCCACAAACCCTGAGCCATGTCGCTACTTTATGAAAGCTGGAGGCTGTCGCCGGGGTGAAAAATGCTCGTACTCGCATTCAATGGCGGGTCTAGACAAGGAATTGAGGGCTCGCAAGTGCTTGAAGTGTGGTTCAGAGGCTCACCGACAACGCGACTGTCCAGTTGCTAAAGGAGGAAGGACTTCAGTGCCTACTACGCCTACCAATGCTACGCCTACCAGTTCACAAAGGGGTCAAAGGGAGCAACCTAGGTCAACATCTACTCCAACGGTGGCTACGGTTGCAACGGCTACACCTTCAATATCCTCGTTACCAACAACGGCTACGTCGACTATGGAGGGAACCCCATGGACACTGGAAGCCTTAGTCCAAGCAGCACAGCAGATGGTCCAAGGCCAAGCAGCGACAACAGTTCAGGATGGCGAGGCGTCACCAGAAAAGACGAGAGCGGAGCCCAGGGTCTTGGTGATTCGAGATGTGCGGGTCTGTGCAATGCAATCTGGAACGGCAGCTCTCCTCGACTCAGGAGCCACGCACAGCCTCAGAAGCGCGAAGGATAAGATGGAGTGGGAAGCAGCAGAACATGTGACGGTTCAGTTGGCAGGCAATGTTTCTATGCCAATGAGAATGAGCAGTGGTGGTTCGTTGCTAATGCCACCCAAACAAGCAACTGAGCGCTTTGGTCAAGTTCGTCATGATCATCAGACAATCGTGCCTTTGGGGGAGTTGGTGCGGACGCTGGGGTATACCCTTATATGGTCTGGTGAGGGTTGCTTTCTGGAAGACGAAGCAGGAAGGCGCACCAAGCTAAAGATCAGCGGCGGGTGTCCCCATCTACAAGAGACGGAGGCATTGGCGTTGATTGCAAGGCTCGAGGACCGCAAGCGCGAGGAGTTAGAAAATGGAACTATGACCACTCTGGACCGCATGGCAATGGCAGTGGCCTACATGGAGAAGTCATGGTTGGAGCACTTGGAGAGCTATGTGAGGAAGGGTACAACAGAGGATGGTCTACGGGCAGTTCGCGACGCACCTTTCCTTGAGGGTGTACCAGGTGAGTGCATAGATGGCTTGGTGCAAGGCAACATACTGAGTGCGGGTTGGAAGGTGTTCAAGGACATTGAGTTTCTGTCAAGGGCTCAACGGAGGCGGTTGTGGAATGCAAAACGATGGGTGGTTCACTTATATGCTGGGGATCCAGGACATTATGAGTTTTTCCAGCTGGACCAAGCAGGAACAGTCGTCCTCGAGCTCGATGTGCAGAGATGCAAGGCCCATGACGTTCTAAGGGATAAAACCTGGAAGCTCCTATTGTGGGGTGCTATGTCGGGACGAATAGATGTTATCTTGGGATCACCACCGGGAAGAACAGG